ACACTTGCATTTGTCAACTAGTGTCGTTACTATTATATTTTAAACCCGTAATAGGGTGGAAGTCCTACTTATGGCCAGTTCTCCTGCTATGGTCCGTTGATGTTATTTATTTAATTGATTTAAACAAATAATGTGTAAGAATTTATAATAACTCATCATTAGATATTTGTATAGTTAATAGTTTATTCAGTTATCTACTCTGTTTAATAAGACACTATTAATTCATAGAACTATAGAAGTTAAACAAAAAATGATATAGGAATAGATGGGAATATTGTATTTTTTAATTTAATCACTCATTTCACTTATCGTGTCGCAACTTAAAAATTGAACACAATATTTTTTTTTTTTAAATACAGAGCCAATGAGGGGGAACTGTTTTCCACATGACTTGCCCTCAACACAATATTAGGCATGTTGTTAAGTATAAAAGGCTTTATTTTCAAATTTTGTTGGTAATCGTGAACAAATGAGATGTTTGTACAAAAAAAAATCGCTTAGGGCGACAAAAGGTTGGGTCTTCATTCTAATTGTTTCTACACAGTGAATTACAGGGTTAGATGAGATAATTGTAAACGAACAGGCAAATGTAACTGCAAAATCGTTTAAATACATTTAAAAAATTATTTTTATTTAACTTACTTGTTTACAATTCTTTACATATTGTACTGTACAGATTATTTAGTTAAAACGGCCATTGTTTATACAACTAATAATAAATCAATTGTAATTATGATACCATTTTGTTATACTTTACGTTATTTGCAGTGTTCGTTAAAAAAAGCTAATTACCGGCTTCGATAAAAAAAAAACACTTTCCACAGTCCACCACTCATACTTATTATAAAACGGGCCTAGCTTGAATGGGCTCATATGTATGTAAGTGAATTATATAAAGCTACTTACAATATTAAAAAAAACCTAAAAAGCATAAGTTGTTCACGCTTGGGTCGACGCACTGTGAAGAGTTTCATTTCAATCGTTCGTCTCAAAAGATTTACCTGAGTGAATCTAATGCACGCATTATACTTATTACTTACACACATAATATTTATGAATATTTTTTTTCCGTTTAAACCATTGTGTAAAATTTCATTTTTCCAACGGTCGGAGAAATCAGATTTCAATGAAAAATATACACGGATGGCAGATTTATATGAATATATAATCGAATTTAGATTGAAAATTCACGAACAGATGAATTGGATTTGGAGGTCTGCGAATAAATAGCAAGAAAAATGGAAACTGCATAAAAAGCTCGGTGCGCCCAAGTAAATTTACCTTAAACATACATTACACGTTTATGAACAATTATTTATTCATGGACAACAACATGTCTTTCTTTATCTAATTTACCATTAACTATAATCATTATTACATGCGTTTTTTTACAACTATTTTTACTAAACCGACGAATAGTATGCGTTGAGTCGAGAGAACGGCGTTGTTGTGATCGACCAGTTGGTGCGGTTTTTATTATCATATATCGGTGTATCTATGTGGAAGATGTGGAAGATGTGGCTTTTAATAACCGCACGGAGGCTCGTAAGTGCGCCCAAGTTTATGCACCATTAGCGCCATAGCTTTTTGAATACTCGTTTTTATAACTTTTCTTTTATTATTATAAAACATATTACGTTATTCGCGAGAACAGCTGTATAAAATAAAATTATATGATATGATATTATATTTTAGTAAACCCGTATATTATTTTATGAGGAAATATATAATTCTTCGTGGGTTCAATTATGGCTTTATACAAATTAATAACAATAATAATAGTAAAATCAAATATTACTTATTACTTTTTATTCAGCAAAATCGCAAAAACTTATTTAATTATTATAATTTTTTTTTTTTATGTAAAATATACGTTTATATAGCTAATGTTATTATTATGATTATTTTAGCATAGCAATTGATGGAAAACTTGAAAATTATTATGATTTTCAATTTCTGTATGGGCGCAGTGGACGATTGCGCAAAAAAGGACTTATTATTTTTCATTGCTTATATTTCATGCAAATTATTTTTGTTAGTTTATATTGTAATGTAACATTCTTACTTACAAACACAAAAGATGATAGTTTTGATAATAATATGCAACGTTGATTCTATTTTTTGAGAAAACATCTTTACCAAATTGTAACGTTTAGGACTCGTGAATATTTATGTTTGTTTGTAACTTGTTGTTACTGATTTTGAGCGTTTAAAAACAAGAATATGGCAGGACCCCTTTTTTCGTTGAATTTGTTGTTGTTTGCGTTTTGTATAAACCTAATTACGGGGGGTTTTCGCATTCGAGCATGATTTTCCATCTTTGGCAAACACCGACCGAAAATGTTATTGTACATATGTATGGTCCCTAAACAGGGAGAAAGAAAAACACAAGGGGTGAGGCATGTTCAAGGGCTATTATTTATACACATATTTTATACAACATTGACCGTGTAACGAAAAACCCGCAAATTTCGTTTTGTTGGGTTCAAACATTTTTTTTATCATATTATGTTTGTAATCTGATGGTACGAAATTAAAAAAAAAAACATTATTATTTCGGTAATGCGTAGAATTGTCAAAGTTATTGGCAAATTAAATGTTTAAAATGCTAGATGACACGGAATTTAAATTAATCGTGATTATAAAGGTTAACTTTTTTTAAAAATTATATAATTAATAACATTTTTACTATAACGGGTTGGTGTAATATGACAACTAATTATTAAAAACATAAATGTGTTTAGTTCTGTTAATCAAATTCGATAACATTAATGACAGTAGCATATTTTCTAACATAAACTTTTTTTCTTGTTTCTGAATCTCCAATTGTGCATGATTTTTAACACTACTAGGATAATTATTTCTTTTAGGAACAATTCATTTAATTCTTATTCGGTATTCTCGCCTTTATGTGTGGACTTTTAATGAAAATCCTTTGTGAATTACTCGGTAGTAATAACGCTAGAATAGAATTAGCTCAGTTTCCGTAGAACTGTTTAATAACAGTAGGTATAAATTTACCGCAGTAATGGTTTAAATATAGTTTTCCACCTATAAAGGGGATAGCTGCAATTAAACCTTTGTGGAAAAGTAGGTATAATTGCAGGTAATGTTCTCTTCATAAATATAAAATATGTTAAATATAGCATACAATTTTATTAGTAAACCACACGGACAACCAACCAAGCATAAATTGAGAAGACGGAGAATTGAGATTATAGAATTAAAAGTTCAATTTTATATTATGTAAATTAAAGATATAAACCTTCACAAAATAATTATAATTTTTTAAGTATTTTGAAAGATTTAATTTTTATTTATAACGACATAAGGTCAGTACTTTGTACAATTTAAACTTTAATGATAGCTACTTTCAAAACCTTTTAGGATGTATTTATAAAAAGGAAAATTTTTTTTTGTTTTTTTGATATGGAATTTTAAAAATAGATCAATGTAGTTATAGTATACACACATACCGGGGTTTTAGATATTGGTAATCATTTTTGCTAGTAATGTTGTTTATTATATCATTGGTAGTCATTATTACATTGCTAATTTATAAGGTATAATTTGGTTTTAATGAAACGAAAAAGTTACGATTTATTTTTCTCTAAAAACTTGTACCATGTAAATTGTATTTTTTTTTTTATAATAATTATTATAAAGTCAGCGCCCGTTGAATGAGGTGACAAACGATCTTTCTTCATTTGTTTTTAAATTTTAATTATGTTTCTGTTTAACCAAAATATAGTAATACATCGCCAAAGTTTTTTTATTATTTTGATTCTGCTTTGGCCGTTGTACAATTATTATTTACTTGATTTCGAAATCCATTTCCAATATTTTCTCCATATACATCCCTCTAAAGTTTTCGGGTAAAATTGAATTTATTCTCGTGTAGGGACCATTGTGGCAACAGTTAAATACTCGGTCCGATGCCTAATAAGCTTCATGCCTCCAGTTTAATAGCATGGGCCAAAAAATCCATATAAATGAAAGAGGACCATTAGTGGTAATGACGCCGATTTGTGTGAAAGAAGATCGATTTTTTTGACCGAGTAAAACTTTTGTCTGTACAATCTCTACCAGTGACGATAATTATTTAAACGTTACTAAGAGACGACCGTAATTCGAAATTTATCGCATTGCATAAGAAAGTTTTCTTTTTTAATGAGTCCGAAAGACTTTTAGTTTTAAATGACTCTTAGACCTTATTATTATTATTTTTTTGTTATTGTTAATAATACTCAATTATTGCAATGAGATATTTTTAATTCAAACATTGTTGATAGTAGAAATATTTTTATATAATAACGGTGATATTCATTTGGCAAACTTAAGTACACACCGTATTAATAGATTCCTAGAGGGTTTGATTTTTCAAAGATATTAGGTTAATAATATTTACTTATAGAGTATACTATCATAATAACGTATTATATCACTGTAGTATAATAGTTTTATTTGTCATTAATTTTGTTGTCAACAAATGGCTTGTAAGGAAATAACACGCATTAAGTCAGTGTCAAATGCAGAATTTATTCTCTTTACTCTTAAAGGAATATAAATTTGTATTTTTCTTTAATTATACTAAAGCTGAACAACAGCATAATGTCATTTACATTTATTAGATCTAACCGACCCTATAATTATAATACTGTTTACGATTCTTGGATTGGGAAAAAAATATTTTACTTTTATTTGACACTTTAATTTGTACATCTTATCTCCGAGTCAAGATCTAGATGGTATTTGGCGGAAATTGTGTGAAATGAAAAATTTCGTGGTTTCGGAGGCTTATTATGTTGGTTTATTTTTACAAAATGCCAATAACTGAGCTGTATAAATAACAAAACGCGAGTTATGTATCTAATTTAGAATGTGGTTTGTTTTCGTAATCACACAAAACATCCAAGAGTTATTTTTACAGATAATAGTGTTACTAACGCACTATTAATCTATGTAGAATAAAAAATAATATCAAAATCTTTTGTACTCACGTGAGCATGTTGGTGAGCGGAGTCTGTATGGTTTTCATGGGAATGTCCAGAGGTCCTCTGCCGAAGCCGGGCCAGGGCGCTCTTCAGCCCTTCCGTTTTGACCCTACCGCTGTACCAACCACGCCATCTCTACGGTCTAACACTAGCCGCCGGCACCCCAAACACTAAATTTTAACATCTGTCAACAAAAATCATTTCAACGTTATTGCAGTGCAAACTACTATTTACTATGTAAAATCGTATTAAAAGTTGATCAATAGTAAAATAAAGGCGATGTGCAGACGTGTCACTTTTGACTTGAAGTAAATAAATAATTACATTTTATTGACACCGTGTTATGGATACTCAGAGTCTTATTATCGTATGTGTGGTTCTTTATATGATATGCAAATATTCAAATGTCTTAAGATTTTTTCGTCTATACGGCGGGATTAAAAGAAACGAATGAACACAATAATTATTAGTCTACTATTTACTCTCGATTCGACCACGAAAACAAAAAGACTCTCGATGAGCTTTTACTGTTAAATACGTTGAGGTCTTTTTTTCTTCTGTGATACTCTTGCTGAGGCGTTGCCTATAATATAAAAATTACTTTCGCATTAGTGCACATTTGACGACGTTTTTCCATGAGATAACAAGGAACCGATTTGAGCCGATGAAAATATCGTCGGATTCAGGTAAAAAAAAAAATTAAATCCATCGAAAACGGGTTGAACAATAACTATAGAAGCTTATCGTCCTCCGCCACAGTTCTATTGGCCCGTGAAATTCTATCGGATATCAGAACGCCGTTCGACACCCTATATTATTATTATTATTTCACTCCATAAGTGTTATTTTTTAACGACCGTCTTGTTACAACACATTTTTTTTTTGTACTATCGAGAATTATCAATAATATGTTGTAAAATGTCATCAACAAACAAGTAATCGATTGAACATGTTATGTGCTGAGCTACAGCAATCTGGCTACGGTCACAGTCGGAATCTCGAATAGGCATCTGTCTTTGGGCACAACATTGCAATAGTTTTGCTGCTTGACGTTTGGGGTGTGTCACTTGTCTCAGACCACAGTTCTAGTACTTAGTTCGGATCCATACTTACTACGGCGAGCACACTCATCGCGGTACAGTCAATGCGTAATACCCACCGTCTATAGGGGCGGTTGGACCGTGCAAAGGTTGTGGTATTCAAACCGTTTTCGTTAATAATTTGCGTACACCTCGCGTAAAGTTATAATGTTATCTCGGCGTTACGCGTGTTCAGTTATCGATTATCCGGACGTGTGGGTAAGCGATGGGCGGTCGGTGGAATAGCCAAATTGCTAAGGGGAAGGAAGCCGGAAAAGAAGGGAGTAGCAGAAGAGCGCAGCGAGAGGGAAAGGTCCGATTACAGCGAATTTGGTGCGGGACTATTAGTTTCAAAGGTCCCGGGGTTCGTTTACTATTTTTGTTCCTTCTCTATATTATACGCTTTGGAATTATTGTTTTAACCCATTTTCCCAGATGGCTGAAGCGATTTTTTTATCTCCATGCAAACTAGTATATATTTATTATCTCTTCGAGGCCACTGTCAAACGGCGATAATCTGACCTATCCATGTGTGTGCGTGTGTGTGTGTGTATATATAAATATATATGTGCGTGTGGCAGTATAACGATACGTGATTGGAATATGCTTGCCGGATAACTTTCATATTATACGGACAGGCGCTGTTTTGATAAACACACTCGCGGGACGTGTACGCCTGTAATATTATTATTGCATGCATGTGTACAAAATCTATGCTTTATATATATTATGCGCGTGTATCATTGAAAAAACGAACCTTTCGCCCGTTCTCGTTTGTCCGACAGCCATAAGTATACAATGACGGGATAATTGTATCGAAAACGGGATAAATGTTTCGAAGAAGTTGGAATAAACCCGGAAATGAACTGCAAAACATAGTTGTAATTGTCCCATCACGGCGCAATTGCCAGTTCTAATTAGTAACAGATGGTATACCTACAAGGAAATGCAGATAATTCACTTCTGTGTTCTGATGTCTTCAATATTTTATTAGCTTTGTTCTATCATAACGTTATAGTTTCCTTGGAGTAATAAACTCAGTTTTTGACAACTATTATTTAGACGATTAAAAAAATATTACAATGACGTTTTATTTTGTTAAAAATATAAATATCACAGGATAAGTTCTATAATTATTGTGTTTAATTAGTAAAACGTATCATAATACTATTTTAGTAACAATAAGTGTTTTTTTTAAAGAAAACTAATAAAATGAGAAATTATATTCATAATTTTATACCTCGCATCTAAATAGAGCTTTTTTTTATATTTAACTATTTTTGACAAATGAGCAATTAAAGTCTTAACTTCGTCCCAAAGTTAATGTTTTAAATTTATTACTAATTAGAGTCTTTTAAACATTTAACGTATAAAATGTTTTTTTTTATAAATTTAAGCATTCAAGTATTAAACAATGAATACCTGTTAAAATATTTCAGGCAGATAAATTTAAGCTCGATTTATCTTAATTATATTTACCTAATTAAGTTTTACACGGGTTTAAAACTAAAATAACATATTTTAATCTGTAGTGTTATTATTTTTTCAACTCTATAACTGTATCTATCAATTATTGCTAACAAAATGCGACCAGGTGGGTTTTTTTTGCAATAGTCATAATAATAATTATGTGTAACATAAAATAAAATGTAGTACCCATTATCCAAATTAGTAATTACAAAATGGACATTGTCACGGTACTTATTATGACTATTAAGTAAAGTAATAAACTTTACTATATTATATATATATATATATATATTTATATATATGTACACTCACTCCTGTATAACTCATAAAATAAATCATAACCCAAAAGCCATTAAGTATATTATTATTCCTAATGCTAGTGCTTACCACATTATTTGCCGACTTTATAGGTTCAGTGCGATGTATATTGAATACAGATTCCCTATGTAAAAGATCTCGGTATTAAAGTTTGAGGGGAGAAGTAGAGTAAGTGATGTCGATTCATAAATCGTCGCACAGTCATTATAACAAAAATAACATACGCAGTACTACACCGACGGTTATGGGACATTGTGCAAGTCCGGCGGTGGTTAGTAAAAAAACTGATTGCTTAAAAAAAGGACCCAAAGTATAATAATTGTGTTTTGGAAAGCGGTTGTAATGGTGCGAGATACCCACCTAAAGGTTAAATCTTCTGGATAATAATATAGGCCGCAGTGGATAAAAGAAAAAGCAACCGTGAATCCTCCGCCTATTTTCCATTATGTAGCTGAGCTCACTTAATCGTGGTTTATACTGTTGAAATTGGAGGAATTCATGGAAAAGGTATAGATGTGCAGGGTACAAAATATCAAGATTAGGGCGTCTCGATTGAAAAACGACGCACTTGAGAAAATCGAATTTTAAATATTAAAAAAAACAAGAAAACCGCTTTGAGTTTTTCGTAGTGAAAAAAAAAATTGTAAAACACTGTAGTACATATTATTATCTCGAGCGAACGATTTGGATGGCCAAATAATATATATATATATATATAAAGTTAAAATATATTAGTCGAGCGAGTAAAACGGTTTAAGCGGAGAAAATGCGTTTTTCTCGGTTTGCTCGAAGCCAACTCATTAAAATATAAGTACTTGTTCTCCTCGTTTAATGTCGGTACCCTTACCGTTAAACAAATATGTAGGTACACATTTAATACCGGTACTTGCGGTATGTATATATATATATATATCTTCTAATATAGGTTAAATCTACGTAAATATACACAACGACGGAGGATATGAAATTCAACTGAAGACCAAATGAAAAAAAAATGCTCCCACTATGAATATGTTAATCGAGGGAAAAAATTAATTTTGCTAAATGAAAAAAAAGGAGCAAATTATGATACGCCAACAGTGGTTGCTATATTATTTAATTTAAAAAATGCTAAACTAATGAATTTGCTGTACAATACATGTAAAAAAAAAAGAAGGTTATTCTAAGCAAAACTATTATAATAGAGCAATCACGTGCTTACTATTATTAATGTTTTATTAATAACAACCGCAGATTTTCCTCAAAATAGATGGTACTAGAATAAACACCAACTAGAAATAATACTGTTAATTTTCTATTACAAACACTAAATGTTATCTGTACTGAGAAAATTGTATTATGGTAAATGAACTTTTTTCTCTCTTCAATATAATTATTGTATAATGAAATGATCTATTTCACATTATTTATTTTTGCAGCGTTAATATTTTTATCATAATAGTATGTAGACTTTGCTGACATAAATTATTGTTATGGTGTTTGTCCTTTTTTGATTAAGCGTTTTTACCTTTTTATCTAACAAGGTTTCTTTTTTTTAAATCGGCCCCCGGAGGAATATGACTGTCTTGTTTGTACTATAGAAAACGTTTTGGATCCACTGAACTCTCAGGGGAACGTGAACATGCCCTCACCATGATGGAGGCCCAAAGGTGGGTTATGCTTTTATGTTTGTTTGTTCTACTAAGGCGTATAGTTTCTCCAGGCAGCTGAATCCTATCAAAATGGAATGGGATGGGAAAAAAGATGTCACGCTAATCAACGCCCTTTGTCAAAAAGGCCGGGAAGAAAGTAACTTTTCGCTAACGCTTAGTTTATACTAATGTATGATTTTTTGAAGTGAAACTTCTTTTAAGAGGGTACGAAAAAAAAAGATTATCGACTGTGACGGTCGGCAGTCACGAGAGTTTTTAGTTGCGCATGCGCGTTGTCTCATATTGTGTTGTATGGTTTGTCTCTTTAAATCCTTCTGAAACCAAAGTCTATTGCAGATAGAGCAAGCGTGTCCGAACTGATTATATGAAAAATTATTGTTAAAGTGCTTATGAGCAAATTTATGTACTTGAAAAATGATTGCTATAAATGTTACAGTTTTGTGCTTCGTTTACGTGTATTAGATCACTAATAAACTATTTAACTAGCCTTTGGCTTGAATCACTCATCATCCTGCAATTTTTTTTTATGCAGAGCTCTGCGTAATGTAACTCATATTAAATTAAACAAATTAAGTTATATGAACAAGAAACTAACTAGTTAGTTGGTACTTGGTTGACGTTTAGCATTAGAATTCATAGTGACAGATTCCAATAATGAACCTACT